AAAAAAAAAAAAAAAACTTATATATTATCACGATCACAATTGTGTAGTTTGTTTTGATTGAAAGATCATTGATCTTGTGATTAGAATCTTCTCCGTATTGGAATCTTCCTTATGATTGGGATCTTTCTCATGATTAGGATCTTCTTGGTGATTGCTAAAAACAAGAAGAAGAATGAGCTAGAGTATTTTGTCAAGAGTAAGAGGTTTGTCATAAAAGAAATAGATGATATGATTGGGTAGTATATCCTGATTTTGTTCATTTTCCTTTTATTTTCTCAAATATATTCTGTATATTTTTAATGCTTTTGTATGAATCGAATAAATCACTATCACTATTTTGAGAACCAGTTACTAATTAAAAACAGGTTGTATTGTTAGAAATAGAAGTAGAAGGCACTGAATGTGAATGGATTGTATTGATAGGAATAGAGATAAGAGAACAGCTTGTATTGGTACAAATAAAAATAAAAGAATGGGTTATATTGGTGCGAATAGAGGTAGAAGAACGGGTTGTATTAGCATGAATAAAAAAACAGATTGTAATGGTAGAAAAATGAGTTGTATTGGTAGAAGAACAAGTTGTATTGGTAGAAGAATAGGTTGCATTGGTAGAAGAAGATAAGTTGGGTAAAGTATTATTGATAGGATTTTTAGAAGATGATATATTATTAGTATCATTGTTATCTATTTCAAAAATTTTCAAAAATGTTTTATCTTTTAATTTTCAAAGAGTTATATTTATATATCAATAAAAATTTAAGAAATAGATAACTGATGATGTTAGTCATTATATAGCAAAAAGAAAAAATACATCATTTTGTCAACATACGTATAATAATAATTTATCGAGTCTAAAAGAGATAATGTTAATTGTTATGTAGCAAAAAAAAAATACGTTATTTGTAAACATATATGTAATAACAATTTATTTATCTAAATAGATGAGTATTAATCATTATGTAGTAAAAAAAATTAAAAAAAGTGAGAGTATATTTATCTTATTTGATGTTTTGGTTATTTGTATGTAATGATGATAAATATAATTATACGTGTAAAACAATTTGCTGAGTTTCTCATTGCGATTTAAAATATAATAAATAATATATACATAATATACTTTTATTTACAATATTATATCATATAAATAATTATATGCTTTGTTTTGATTATACATGTTACTGAAATAAGTTTTCAAAAAAACCTTATTTCGTCTCTATTAGAGCAATTTAAAATTTTTTATATGCAAGAGCAAATCTAATTTAGATAGTTATGTTCCTTATAATTTCGTCTCTTCAAAAAAAGTGTCAAAAAATTTCATCTTTTAAATAAAATGAGTCAAAAACAATTTCATCTTTAAATTTTAATTTTGTACCCCAAAACTCAAAATAATTTTGTTGGCATGTATAGTTTTGATCGAAGAGAAGAATTGCTAAAATTGATATAAATTGATAAGAGTTATTAAAATCTCTAAATCATTGCTTACTGCTATATCCTTTACTCTTTTATTACCATTTTTTACTTTGATTCTTTACAATCTAATATATTACTAATTTATACTTTACTCTTTTTCTTTCACTTCGCTTTCTCTTTCGCTTCACTTTTTTTTCGCTTTCTCTTTTATTTCATCTTTTTATTTATTTTTAGAGAAGATCGAATCAATACAACTATAGAAAAAGAATATAATGAAATTATAGATCAAATAGAAGGCGAGGTATTACAAGAATCAGGATAGTCTTTTGTTCGAGCAGAAGAAGTATTTCTTGAAATAAGCGCATTCAGACTATTACGAGATAGTAGTTGGCTATCTTTACCAGAAGATTTAGATAAGCCACAGCTCGGTTTAATTAATCCGCAAAATTTCAAAGACAATGAATGCTTTAGAGATTGTGTTAATATACACCATGCAAGAGAAGATGCACTAAAAGCAGGACAAAAACCTACACATCTTGAACGTGTAAGCAAGATTAGACGATATGGTAATATAGCTAATTTTGAAGGCATAAATTTTCCAGCAACACTACATGATGTTGATAAATTCGAGGAAAATAACCCAAACTATGCTATAAATATATTTAGGCCAGTGTATAAAGAAATGTTCAGAAAAATAAAAGTAAATATAGACCCATTACATATCTCTGAAAGAAATTATCAAGTCGAATATATATTAGATTTATTATATTTAACAGAAGGTGAAGAGAATTTAAATGACCGAAAAAATACAAATGATATACTAGAAGGATTAAAAACGCATTACATATTTATAACAGATTTTACTCGATTAATGCGTAAGTGGAATAACCATCATGGAAAAAAATACTTTTGCCGAAAATGCTTACGATTTTCTTATAGTCGACTAGATTTATTAGAAAGACATATTCCAACATGTCCAGGACCAAGTAAAGCACCACAACGATTAATCCTTCCTGAAGAGGTCAAAAACTATGTGAAACCCAAGTATTTCAAAAACATACTAAAGAAACCTTATTTAATTACTATGGATCTTGAAGCAGAAGAAATCGAAGTAGAGAAAACAGATAATGAAGAAAATACTATAAAATTAGCAAAGCAAAAGGCAATTTCATATGGATATACAATACATTGTTCAGATGGGACTACACAAAAACCAGTAATTAATCGAGAATCAGAGAATATAATAAAAGACTTAATGGAAAACCTTCAAGAAGATCTAGAAGTTATTTTAAATAAGCTTCGTGAAATAGTTCCATGTGAAAAAATGACACCTGAATTATGGCAAAAATATCAAACTGCAAACAAATGTTGGATATGTGAAGAAAAATTACATGAAGCTGGATATAATAAAATTCGTGTATTCGATACTAAAACCAAAAAATATTTGGGTGCTTCACATAGAAAATATCACGAGAAAAAATCAATGATTCAAGGTAAGTTAGATGATAAGTAAAAAGAAAAACATAAATTTTGTAAGGTATGAATGTATTGCAAAACGCAATTACCAGACGAGGAAAAAAACAGAGTGATAGATCATGATCATATTACAGGAAAGTTTAGAGGTTCTGCTCATAGTGGATGTAATATAAAATTACGAATCAATCCAGAAACAATAAAAATTCTGATATTATTCTGTAATGGAAGTGGCTATGATTTTTATCATCTAATGCAAGAAATAGCAAAAGTGACAGATGAAAAAATAGTGCCTATAGCAAATAATTCTGAGCAATATATTACCTTTTCAGTTGGCCAGCTTCAATTTATTGATAGTATGAAATTTTCATTACCGGGTTTAGCTAAGATGACAGAAAATTTACGAGATGAAAAAAAGGGGAAAACAAAACACCAGAACAACTAGCCAAATGTTTTCCAATTATGTCAAAATTCATCTCACCTCATTTGTTATCATTGCTTATGCGTAAAGGAATTTTTTCGTATAAATGGTTAAATAATAAAACAAAATTTAATAAGACACAGCTCCCACCACGTAAAGATTTTAATAGTGATTTAGATAGGTTTAATTACTGTGATCATAATTGTAGAATAGAAAAATGTGAGCATAGAGAGAAGATAGGGAAATGCAAACATAAATGTCAGAAATGTAAGCATAAAAAAGAACCAAGTAATTGCAATAAATGTGAAGAAAATAAAGAATGTGAACATGAAAAAATTTATACCATATCTCAAAAGGATTATGATTTTGCACATATGGTCTGGCGAGAAACAGAATGCAAAACTTTTGGAGATTATCACGATATCTATCTTAAAACTGATGTATTAATTTTAGCAGATGCATTCGAGGCATTCCGTAAAGCCTCATATTCAGCATTCAAGCTCGACACAGCAAATTATTTAACTGTACTAGGTCTAGCATGGGACGCATGTATGAAGGTAACTAAAGTTAAGCTAGAATTATTTCACAAACACCAAGGAGATATGCATGATTTCTTTATAGCAATGAAAAAGGGAGGAATGTCTTTGGCTAGACATCGTATAGCTAGAGCAAATATTCCAGGGTTAGAAGAGTATGATGGAAAAAAATCGAAAAAGCATTCATTGTCTTTGAAATTTTGCGGATTAATTAAACCGAGCTGTGGCTTATCTAAATCTTCTGGTAAAGATAGCCAACTACTATCTCGTAATAGTCTGAATGCGCTTATTTCAAGAAATACTTCTTCTGCTCGAACAAAAGACTATCCTGATTCTTGTAATACCTCGCCTTCTATTTGATCTATAATTTCATTATATTCTTTTTCTATAGTTGTATTGATTCGATCTTCTCTAATAATTTCTATAGTTTCATGCTTGAATAAAAAGTTTTATATTTGGGTTCTGACGTTTCTGGTTGAATTTTCTTCATATATGCTATTAACATGATTCTTACCTTTAATCCACTCTTAAGAACCAATTCTTTTTTATAAATATCTGCAATTTTTTCTTTAATTGATTTGGAGAAAGCTAATGGCTCACCCTCAGCATAGTATCCTTTTGGTAAAAATATATAATAATCACATACCTCACCTTCATTAAATTTTCTGGCTTCTGCTATTCTATTAATGTATAGATCCTTGATTTTTTCGAAATGAATATCTGGTTCTTTTTCAGCAGTATCATATTCTGAATCACTTGGTTCGCTATCTTTTTCGTTATCTATTTCCATTAAATCATACCATTCTTTATTGTTTTTAGGTATATGCTTTGATCTAATTTTTTTATTGTTTTTTATTTCTGGCTTTGATAACCATTTTATTAATTCATCTATCATTAAAATTGATTTCTTTTTTTGTTCTTCTTGAGTATTAAAACTTGATCCTGCTTCTGTATTTAGAACATCATCAGTTAAAAGATCGACTGCCAGCGCACTTGCCTCTCTCGGCTGAAGTGTTGGTGGGTTTTTATCAAACGATATGAGATCACCTTCAGGAGTTGATGGCGGATTTTGCTCTGGAGTAATGTTTTCAGTTTGAGGTGTATTTTGCTCTGGGGTAACGTTTTCTACATTTTGTATTATAAGCAAAGCTAGTTGGCATTGTCCTTTACGAAGGTTTCCATTTAAATTCATGTGTTTATTAAGATCTTGAGTTTTACCAGTTCTTATTTCTCGATCACAACCTGGACATTTAAGTATCTTAGCCATAGTAATATATTTTTCAGTGTTTTTTATTAATATACCAGATCTTTTGTTTAAATAAAAATTAATTATTCATTTATTGAAATGTTTATTGAATATATCGAGGAAGGTAAATATATCGAAAAGTCAGGGGGTAAATATACATGTGAATATATACACAATTCTGGAGAAGTCTGCGGACGTGGGTGTCGACGTCCTGAAGGGTGCTATGAACATTGGAGATCTAAAAAACGTGTTTTATGTGATGATTGTGGAAAACCTATAGCTTCTGCTTGTGGGTGTTGCAAAAAATATTCTAAAGGATATTATGTCATGCAATTTTATGCTCGACAACTTCAGATGCTTGAAGACTACCCATTACTCTTCGAGTCACCCTTCGGGCCTGCAAGACAATAAAATTTAACTATCTTTTTTATCATAGAAATCTAATTGATAACTAAAAGATTACTATGCTCCGCTTCGCTCCGCTACTGCGTTGCTCACACCTTAGATGTATACTCCTTAGTGTTAAGAAACCAATTGTTAACTAAATAGATAACTAATGCTCCGCTACGCTTCGCATTCGGAGTCGCTATGCTCCTCCAGGACAGAAAATGTTTTAGTAATCAAATAAGATAACTATGCTCCGCTATGCTTCACATTCGGAGTCGCTATGCTCCACCGGGTCAGAAAGCTAAATAGTAATCAAAAATAGTTTAACAAAAAATACACCAAATGTGAACAAATCATCATTGATTTGATGTTGCAATCGAGTTTTTATCATCAAATAGAGAGAATGTGCTCACAATAACAGAAAGCTAAATAGTGATCAAATAGGATATCGAAAATACACCATTCATATTCACATCCCCCCTAAAGATTTATGCTCATAGTGATAGAATGCTAATTAGCAATCAAATAAGATAACTATGCTCCGCTTCGCTCCGCATCTGCATCGCACACACCTTAAGTGTATGCTCCTTAGTGATAGAATGCTAATTAGCAATCAAATAAGATAACTATGCTCCGCTTCGCTCCGCATCTGCGTCGCACACACTTTAAGTGTATGCTCCTTAGTATTAGAAAGCTAATTGTAAACTAAACAGATAACAATGCTCTACTTCGCTCTGCATATGGAGTCGCTATGCTCCTTCACGTCAGAAAGCTAAATAGTAATCAAAATAGATATCAAAAAATACACTACAAGGTGTCATATATAAAAAAAACACACTGTATATAGATTTTATATAAGTTTATCAGAAACATAGAAAAAAAGACTGAAATCTATAGAAAAACAGAAGCATTTTTTTAAAATACACCCAAATTGTCCTAAAAAGCCCACTATGATATTACTGATATAAAACCTGCTAACCAGGTAAAAACTATCTACATGGTCATAGAAATCTATACATAGAGCTATCTGACAAAAAGAAAAAAGAACTACGTACTAAAATACACTTTAACCTGTGCTAAAAGCTAAAAATTATATATATATGACTTCGGAATAAGCATATCTCTACATTATCACTCCAGTTTACAACTCTCTATTAAATCCAATTCGAATTCTAGAATGTCTGATTTTAAAGTCTCGATCACGTGATCGTTGATTCTAATATCTTCTTCACTTTTAGCTGACCCCGATTACGAATAGTTCTGCCACTTACAGTTCTTCACTTCGAATATGCTTCTCCATATTTCAGGTTAACAGAATTGGTCCTTTCGATCACTATCTTCAGAAGCTACTTTCTCGGTATATCCTGAATAGGGGGCTACCCGATAGCCATGCCTGATCCAAACAAGATACGTACCATTTATCATTTTTTGATCCGATATCTATTAGAACTTCCTCCTTATACATGATTTGTTTTGTTCTCCAATCATCATATCAAACTCATAACTTTTCAAAAATGGAAGTGGTAAACAATGCCGATCTTTTGGAGAGGGTAAACCAAATCCCACTTTTTGTTAAAAATTATAAAAAAAAAAAATACAGTAAGAGTGTAGTCGTAGTTTTGTGAGTTTTCAACCAGTGAGTGTTCTTCTAAGAGTTCTTCATAGCCTTCTGTCTTTAAACAAACTTGGGTTTATCTTTTATTTACTGTTCCCAGAGACTCCTCTGGTTTGGATGCCAAACACAAAAGAAAGTCCACTACAGAAGAAGACAAGGCTTGACCCCTTTGCAAACCGTCCAAAATGCCTGCTCCTTGGTGTATCACATTTAAAGACTTCGTCGACAACAGTTCGTAATAAGTAAACTTCAAGTAAGTTGCTAACTTCTGGTCTTGAGTCTTCTACTTGCTTTCAGTAAAAAGTTGGTACAAGTGATCATTGGCGTGAGTTGTTTTTGCACAAATTTTGAATTTTACTTTTACATATATTATATTTTTTTATTATAATATTAAAGCAATATGCAATATATAATATATTTAAAGCAATTTAAAGCAATGCGCAATATATAATATATAAAATATATATTAAAAAAAAAAACTAAAAAATATATTAAACGCTACTAAGCGATTCTAAACAAATTATCTATATTTTCTTGGAAAAAATGTATTAATAAAGATCTTCGAGAAAGGGTTTTGTCAAGATCAGAGTCATATTGAGGTTATGCCTCACCGAATCATTCATCATCATAAGGTTCATCATCAGTATTATCGCAAGGTTTACTATCAATTAACATAGCATCAGCCATTTTATGTAAGGGACTATTACTCTCAAATTCTTGCTATAATAATGTATTAAAATTAATTAACATTAATATAAATAAAAACTACATTACAATTACTTACCAAATATTTTTTAATATAATATTTTATACATCTTTTGGTACACAGAACATTTTGTGATCAGGGGTTTAACAGGATGTTGCATACCGCAAGTGTGAATATACAATGTGCACTTGTCAAAGTTGGACCACAACTACCAAAAAGGCTGTTCTTGTGATTGTGTACACCCAAAGTATACCTTCATTATCTTTTTCAAAAAGCATATGATAGCAATCACTTATGGCTTGACTTTTCTTCTAACTCACAATGGTGGTCACAGCTGTATTACTTTTCAGAGGAGACAACTTTTTACACCCAAAAACACACCAAACCGCAAACCTAATATTTTGCAAGGCAACATTGTGATTATTCTTAATCTTTTGCAGAAGCTATGAAATAAATTAAAAATGATAATTCCTAATTAAAAACAATTATTCATAATTACAAACAATATATGCTTTAATTTAAAAATATTACCTATATAGTATAAATTATAGTAAATAAATATGTTAAAAATTATAAACGATTATAAATAATTATAAATGAACATAACAGATAAGCAAAACATAATTAAGAAAGTGAACATTACTTGACTCAACCATTTGCTGTAATAACGGTTTGTGAATTTATTTGAACTTATATTAAACATAAAATTTAGAAACATTTCTTCTATATAAGCCTTAAAGGTTTCCTTTACTATGGCCTAGATAGAGTATACATAAAGTAGAAAGAGATGTTTTGCAATACTAGTAAATGTGTCCTATAGAAAGTCTAACTTAAGAGTTCTGATTACAACATCTATATATATCGACATATATCAAATATTCACTTTTAAGACCTTCTGAGAAAGTTCATTTAGGTGTCAAGTCGCTGCTGTTTTACTTAGACCTTGATTTCTTGTATGTCTTTATTGATTCTTTTAAGTAAAAGATACAGCCGTTGATACTATGTAAATAGTTTCCCATCCACCTGCTAGCAGTATTAGTTTGAATATTCTTCAATTCAGTTTTTTTTTAAAAAAAAAAGAAAAAAAATTCTTTTCAAAAAAAAAAAAAAAAA